CCTGATCGTCACATGAGAGAGAAAGAGAGAGAGAGAGAGAGAGAGAGAGAGAGAGAGAGAGAGAGAGAGAGATCAAGGATTCAAGGGCAGCATGGGTCAAGTATTTGCTTCAAATGTGAACATGAAGGGATGGTCAAGAAAATCTGACTCTTTTGAAGGGCAGGAAGGGTTTACTTACCAGAAGCTCTACTTAGCTAACACTGGGGATGGAGCAAGTGGCTGCCACAGAATGCAGTGTAATAATGTTCTCTGATTCTAAACGAGGGCTAATTGAACAGTGAGTGCCAGTTGTAACAGTGTTGCAGCGTGTTATCTTTCTAATTAGAGTATCATACTTCATCTTCATTGATATATCTTTAGGGGTTCAGTAGCCCTAAATATGGAAGCAAGAGTTTAGGGAGAAAAGGAAAATGCTGGAAGGTCTCCTAATAGTGCAGGTGTACACTAACTCATTCATTCGCCTCCCTCTTCATAGCTGTTTCTAGTTGAGCAGGGCTTCAATAGCAGCATGGTTATCTCATCTATGGATGAGAGGTCACATGATCACCACAAACTCCCAGCGCCACATAGTATGCCCTGTTTTATTATTATGATTGGATTTTTGATAATCCAATGAATTACAATTGGTATTTGGGTTTTGATTTGTATTCCAATAAATGAGGTAGTGAAGCTACATTGTAACCCATTATCCTTTGCTTTTCCTTCTCGATTCGTTACCTGTTTTATTTTTTTGCCCATTTATAGTGTCTTTTGGGAAACTCAATCATAGAAAAAAGAAATGTACATTAGTTGGTCACCTACTGTCCCAAGTCATACTTTGTAACAGATTCTCATTTGGCCTTTGATGGTCTATAACTTTCACCCTACAAATAGTTTCACTTCAACTTCAGTTGTGTGTGTTCATCTTTTATTTTATGGCTTCTAGGATTCCTGCTTATTTTAAAAGTCTGTCCTAAAGTCATAATAAATCTTATTCTCCTCTCTATAATAGTTTATTTCAATATATCTTGACTATTTGAATCTTTAATCCTTTTCATTTTTTATTTTGGCACATGGGGCAAGACAGAAGTCTAACTTTGTATTTTCCATATAAACCACCAATCTTTTTTGTACTAATTTTGTGGTAAACTTTATTGTCTAGTAACACAAACTGTTTACTCCCAGCTTTTACTAATTGTTTCCACAAATATTTTATCAGTTCTTGCTTTTTTTTTTTTTTTTTTTTTTTAAGGGTCTTCCTGTAGCCACGGCTGGCCTGGAACTCACTATATAGGCCAGGCTGGCCTCAAACTCACAGAGATCCATCTGCCTCACCCTCCCAAGTGCTGGGATTAAAGGCATGCACCACAATGCCCGGCCAATTCTTGCATATTATTTTATGAACATTAACATCACAAAATCACTTGCATTCTCTAATTACCTTTTAGAAATTATAAAGTTCTATTATTCCTCTGTATTTCATGGCATTTTATTACCTTTGTCAGTCATGTTGACTGTGGTAAGAAACTTTCAAAGTAGACTGTAGAAGATTTTTTGTCCAAGCATTTGTGTTGGCTCTTGTACAGAAACTGTTCTTTTCTTAGGATTTATTTTATTTTATGAGCAAGAGCATTTACCTGCATGTATGTATATGCACCATGTACATGCAGTGGCTGTAGAGGCCAGAAGAGATCAGATCCCCTGGAACTGTAGTTACAGATGGTTAGGAGCTGCCTTGTAGGTGCTGGGAACTGATGCCAGATCCTCTGAAAGACAGGCAAGTACTCTTAGCTGCTGAGCCATCTCTCCAGCTCCTAAACCATTGATTCTTGACCCCAAGAGAATCTGTGGTTTTCTGCAGCACATGGAGTAAATAGGAATAGGAATGCAGGAAAGAGAGAAATTACATCAGCAGTGACTCCGACTTTCTCTAGGTTCATTCTCTGCTAGTCCAACTACGGATACATTATTAGAAGCTAATTGTATCTCTTCAATTCTTGTGGCTTTTATTAATTGGGATAGTTGCAAAATTATACTTATTTTTTTTCAGCTACCAGAAAACCAGTGTTATGTTTAGATTAGATATAAATATGACATTTGGCTTATTTTAGGAAAGTCTTTGAACCAGTCATGGTGGTGCATGCCTTTAATTCTAGTACTCCAGACACAGAGGCAGGTAGATCTCCATGAATTTGAGGCCAGCCTGGTCTACACAGCAAGATCCTGGCCAGTCAGTGCTACAGAGTTGAGACCCATTTCA